ACAACAGAAAAGTGGGTCAAGGGCATCATTGGTCAGTGTAAGACATGAAAAAATAATAATTTATAAATCATCATGGGTTTGCGAGAGAGGGTGGGTAAAAAAATGAGCTGATACTAAGGGCTCAAGTAGAAAGAAAATGTTTTGAAAATGACAATGGCAACAAATGTACAAATGTGCAGGATACAATGAATGGATGTATGAATTGTGGTAAGAGTTGTACGAGTCCCCAATAAAATGATTAAAAATAAAATATAAATTTAAAACAATTTTTAAAAAGATCACTCTCGTGAGAGGTGCATGAGAGAGGTGGTGGCCTTCTCCCTAAACATGGTTTGTGCATGTGCAGACTGGAACTCTAGAGCAATAGTTTCTCTCGACTGTCTACTGTGAACACCACTCAATTTCAGTGGTACACTGTGTGTTCCTGCTTTCAATTCTTTTTTTTTTTTTAAAGAAAGAGTGAGTTTATTGAAGGAAGATACTTTGGAAAAGCAGTCCAAAGGGCCCTTAGTTAGGCTAAAAGGCTTGCTTTCAATTATTTTAAGAATGCACCTATGAGTGGAATCGCTAAATCATATTGTAATTCTCTACTAAACTTATTGAGGGTCACAGTGGCTGTTACCATTTGACATTCCCACCAGTACTACAGGAGGATCCCAATTTATTCATTCCTTTCACAAAACTTTTTCCATAACAATCATAATGGAGAAAAATAATTTGTTATCGTTCTGATTTACGTTTCCCATAATGGCACTGAGCATCTTTTCATGTGTTTGCCATTCACATGTCTTCTTTGGAAAATGCCTGTCCACAGCATTTACTCATTTTAAAATTATATTGTCTTTTCATTTTGTAAGGAGTCCCAGTTGGCCAGTAGTTTGTATATTTGCGACATAATTGGTTTGGTTTTCGCTCTCCTTTCTGAAGTCATTTGTCCGGTGTGCCACTTGGTTTTAAGATTCAACAAGAATAAAGCAAAACAAAATATCAACCCCACAGTTTTATTTGTATAGAACAAAGCATGAAAAGTCATATTTAAATGTACTCCAAAACCTGAAAAACCCACATCAGTTTCTATGATACGTATGGTAAAGTGCTTGATATCACAATACTCTTTAAAATTTATATTATGTTCAACTGAAGAAAAAAATCCAGTTCTGACGCATTTTGCTAACATTATAAAGAAAAACAATATAATTTAAATGCAGAAATGTTTTAAGATACACAGGATACATTTATACATGGTTCAAGTGTAACACAGATTTTTTTCTACATGTTTCACACCCTCATTTGATTGCTAACAGAAACTCTTTACCTTGCCTTTCTATTACCAGCAAGACTGATTTCACTTGGGAATTGGATCAAGCATGATTTCCTCTCCAGTAATTCAAGGATACCCAGGATCCCTTCAGGCGGGTATAAATTTGGCTTGATGAACTTTTTCTCACCTTGGTATTTTAGCTCAATGTAATCTCTTTCCAAAGCCAATCTTTAATTTCTCCTCGAGAGGGCATGTGAGCTTGAACAAGATTTGGAAGGATGAGGTTCTTCTTGGGACCTTGTGATCACATTACAATCTGCAATCCACATAGAAAGTGTAGGCTCGTTTTCCCACACGATATATGCATGCCTCAACAGGAATGTGGAACCAGAGTAGTTTCTGATTTTTCCCGTTTTCTATATGGTACAGAATAACATAAAAAATACTGTCTCAGAAAAAGGGTCTTCAAAAGACCCAGATAACCTGGGAGTAAGATTCACTTTTGGGAGAGTAGTGGATGGCTCAAGACTCCATTCTCAATCAATGAAGGTGTGTTAACACTGAAACAGATGTAGTTAAGGTTCAGACTTTCCTTTCAACATGGTAAAAGAAAACAAGACCAGTTTCTGTAAACCTCACAGAGAAATATTCAAGGTTCTTCAAACGAAAGTAGTCTACCGAACACTCCTTTTATAGTGCAGAGAAGGTATTTCATTATGAAACGCTACACTCCAGTGAGGTTACATAAATATTGCCCTGTAGATGTGAAGTCCTTGGCAGTTGCCTCATGTTTCAAAATGTCTTAGGGGTGTCAACATGTAATATACACAAGCTGATACGCGTGGTCACAGCCCTCTCACCCACTTACATTCATGAACCGTCTTTATTGACAAAAAGAAGAAATACCAGAACTCCGTAGTTCTCCTCTATCGTTCATATATAGTGTGGCAGAAGACCACTGAAATGAATTTTAAAATATAAAGTCATGTTATAGTATTACAGGTCCCAAAAGGCATAAAAATGAATTAAACATTTGTTATCAACTTTAGAGGAAGATCCAGGCTTCCCCCGCCAGCCAGAACCCTACTTTATGCTATTTCACAAGCACTGAGCCTCATTTTTAAGGAGCTAATGACTCCTGGCCAGTGCATAGCTTGAGGTTTTCACACCTAATTGCAACACCTATGTTTGCCACCTTGCTACCAGGGTTGACATTAGGGATGTCAGGAGATCTGAAAAATACTTGGCAAAAAAAGTATTTTTCAAGAGATAATACTTTTGGCGATTTAATTTTAAAACAACTTATTTTCAAGCTATTGATTTTTTGTGAAAATACTAATTATGGTCCCAGATATTTGCTTTGAGATTTTTAAAAAAAGACTAAAAATTTGGATTTTTATTCATTTTAACAAGTTATGATAAAGCAATATACTAATTTTTACTATTAACAATATCTCTAAGTGGGTATGGTCCTTTCAGAAGTCACCTTAAAGGCTCTAAGGATTCTACTATTGCTCTGCTGACAGTATTTTAGTACTGGTTCAAGGGCAATTAAAAGTCATGTAAGAAATAAGTGTTATTTTTAAATATGTGACCCCATTACTTTGGTAAGCATTCTTTTTATTTTTCAAACTTAGATCTGAAGGCCTTTAAGTCACTTCCAAACACTGAATATATTCTGGAAGGCCTAGCTTTTCCACTACCAAGAATATTTAAAAAAATGGACAGGAGGCCCCTCAGGCAGCTTTCAAGGACTTCCGCCCATGCTCAGAGCACTGACTCAGTCACTGGTTCCCTGTCAATGCTTTAAAGAGCCCAGTATTGAGGAGCATGTACTGAATCTCATGTTTTATATATATTTTTAAACCAGTGATTTTGCTGTTATACTATATAAAATGAGCTGAAACTTCAAGTATAACCTATCTTTTTGAGGGATAGGGTGTCATTTTTAAATCAATGGTTTATTTTACAGCCTCAAATCATCCAACTCTGGACCTGTTTTTTTTTATAACAGATGTTAATTCTCACCCATTTGAAAGCGGTTTGTTAAAATGTATAATAATGCTTACTTCCTACCGGTCTATCTGGGCTTAGTATCTGCAGAAGAGGGAGAATGAGCATTGCAGTCTCTTAGTAACGATGCCTGGAAGGTCTGGTCGCATGCAGACCAGGACAATAAAAACAAAACCAGCCATTCTAGACTCTGTGTTGTCCTGTCACTGACCAGCTATGGGTAAGTATTTTATCTCTTTGATCAGTAAGTCTTTCCATGTATAATTAATCGAACTCATCCTCATTGGTAGCCCAGGGTGTGTCAAACACATGGATTTCGGAAGAGGTAAGGACAAAAGCATCCATTAAATCAGTAGTGGACTGTTCCTAGGCAGTACCACACTTTAATAGCCTGTCGTATAAGAAGTTCTGGAGGTCTCCCTAACAGTCTTTCCAAGCCACAGTGGAAAAGCCACCCTATGGTAGACACAGCTTGGCTGGAGGTCAGCAAATCTTGTGTCTATCCAGGGCCACCTAGCTTCTTAAACCCTCCCCACGCCTTCCAATTCGGCCCAAGAGCATTAGAAGGGGCTGTTTCCTGGCTGCCCTGAATGAGTACAGTGGTTGATAAGGGGAGAGGGGTACTTGCTTTATTAGTTTCTTCCTCCAGGAAATAAGGGACACAGCTGTTGGCTAAAGCCCAGCACCCTCCAGTGGGTTGTGCACGGCTCCCAAGAGCCTCTGGCTTTGCTCCTCAGCCACCTGAGACTAACTCCCGGGGCGCTGCTGAGGCAACCTCACTGCTAAAATGTACACACGCCTCAGGAAGAATTACAGGACCTACTCGGCACAAGACCTAAGTGATCAGCTGACACCACATTTATTGGACTTTCTCATAATCAAACTAGGAAGTTACACTTTTGGTCTTTGTAAGTGGTCCTCTCGTTTTGCTTTCATTTTGTTAGTCTGTGTGGCAGTGCCCTCGAACTCCCAGGGACCAGTTGTTTTACATTTTTACTCCTTGTGCAAAGAAACATACATGGCTTCCTTGGAACCGCCCCATCCCCCTCAGACATCCATTCTTTCTCTCCTGTTATTTGCAGTATCATGGTCAACAAATACTTTTCACAAAAACATTCCAGGCCCCACAGAGGAGGCCCCTCCTCCTTAAACATTCTTTGCATTTCCTGTGAGGGGGATGGGCTTGGGGATAGGGGCTGGGGGGCAGCCTTCTGAGGAAAAGCAGTCTGGATGGCCAAAGGACCAGGAATCACAAAGCTGTATGCTCAAATTCACATCTCCCCAAAGTCCCTCAAATAACAAGAGTAAAAATGCCAGGAATGAAGTTAGTCTAGGCTAATCTTTCCAAAGTGTAAAGACGTTATAATCCCACAATTTAACATACTTCTTAGGCTTTGTGTGCTCTCTCTCCAGTTCAGCCAGGCTCCTGGGGTTCAGTATTTTAAATATTTCAATTTTATCTCCATCTTGTGCACACTGAAATTTTTTTTCCCTCTGAAGACTGGAAAAGTGACTCACAATTCAAGTGTATGAGACAGTTTGTAACTTCAAGGAAAGAACTGCGGACTTGCCGTTTCAGTAGGTAAAGCAGTTTACATTCACAACACACAGGACGGGACACAGGCGTGGCTGGCTCCGACATGACAATGCATTCTGGGTTCCTCTCTGACACATGGAGGGAAAATCAGCCCATCTGGGTGGCACTGTATTTACATGTTTACTGGCTTCTTCCTGACTAGCACCTCTCTTTACACCCCAAACCCTGACTTTTTTTAAACTACTTATTTTTTAAGTCACAGTAATATTCAATCTAAGAAAAGTATGTTATTAGAGTAATATAATTTCTTCAAGATAGCATATTTACACACTTCTAACACATGAAAATACTCTATTTTATACTAAATTCCAGGTTCAAATGAACTACAACACAGCATTTGCCTTGTCTGTAGCATTAAGGATTGTTCAAATTGGGGGATAGAGTAGCTGCCCCCTGCAGTGAATCACTACTGTACCAGACAAGTCCAAATCGATCCATCTGGACTGGTTTAGTAGGGGAAGGTTCAAGGTTCAGGAGCAAGCAATCTCTGGACTGAGAGCTTCTAGCCAACTGGGTTCACATCCACTCCTTTGATGAGCGAGCCTTCTAAAACCAGGGTGAAGTCCTGAATGGTCTGCAGGATGCGGATGAGGGAGTTGACACTCATGCGGTCTCGCAGCAGGGCACTCTCTTCATACATTCGGGTGATGGCAGGGCACTCGGCTAACAATGGAATCCACTGCGGAAGCAGGCGATCCCTGCAGATCCAAGGAGAAACATTTCCTGAGCATGGTTCACCTCACCCCAGAGAAACGCACATTGTTGCTTCCAACAGGGAATAAGGCAGGGGATGATAAAGATGTGGGACTGGATGCTGCGAAATCCAGCCAATTTGCTGAGGTCGGTAGAGAGGAAAACCAAAGCCAAGAAGTTGGATATTGACTGGTGAGAAGATACAGAAGATTCATTCCGAATGAATGCGAAAGTGTGGACGAGAAGGTGAGAAGACCTCACACACAGTAAAGACAACCTCTACTAAGAATTTACCACTTTCACTACGAGGCAGAATGAAATTTCTTCTTCTTTTTTCAAACAAGGGAGTTATTCTGACATCTGTGACAGATGGGGAAGCAAAGGAAGCTTTGGGAAGAAGGATGAACGTTAAATACTGGCGATTATGTTCTTTTTCTTGCTTACACAACAAAACTCGGTAAGGAAGAAACAAAGCCACAGCAGAACACCATTAAGAAGATTTTACAAAACTGTACGCAGGATTGTATTAGTCTGATAAAAATCAGAATTGTGGAGAGATAAAAGGAGATAAGGATTCTATGCAAAAGGAACTTGAAAAACAGCTGGAATTGGACCCCCTTTATAAAGAAAGATACAGAACTGAGTTCTGTAGACCAGCGGCTTCAGGAGGACACATCTCTTATCTGAATTAAACCCTGACATCAGTGTTAACTGTCACTAGGCACCTACAGCGTCCTCAGTGAGCCGCACTCGAATGCCTCTCTTGACAATTCACTGCCCTGACTCCGTTCCACTCACAGCGACAGGGCGACCATTGTCAGGCCAGCTTGAATCTCAGGTGGGGGGCTGTAGGGGCTTAAGAAAAAAAACAAAAAACAGCACACAACATAGAGAACTTAAAACTAAAGTCTTAAACTTTTTTCCCCCTAAAATTTCTGTGTGTGCTTCACTTCCTAAAATTTTGGAAGCGGTTATAACATCAATGCACTGTATAGTTTGTTTCTGTCATTAAAAAAATTAGAGGGGTAGGAAACGGTTTGCAAAAATCCCACATGAAATTTAAAGCAACATGGTCACAGACATACATTATATCATCAACAGAAACCAAACTCTTTGCCAGGGGGTGGATCTTGATTCTTAGTAACCCTAAGGGACACTTATAGGGCAGCCCCATAGGCTTTCTAAGCCGTCGACCTTACAGAAGCGGGCTGCCCCATCATTCTGCCAGGGGGCTGGTGGGCTCCGATTTCCAGCCTTCAGTTAGCACTGACTGCGTAACCACTGCACCAGGCAGGCTTTTCATATTCAAAGTAAATATATGCACGTGTATGTGGTCAATCTAGTTACGCTATCTCTCTGTGGAGCCAGGAGAGGGGTTCCAGAGTGAGACTGGGTGTGAATCTTGGGTTTGCCTCTTTCTAGCTATAGGATCTGGGGAAAATTTCTTAACTTACTGGTGCCCTGACTTTTTTCATTTATAAAATGGGGATATCGGTTGCTACATCATGTAGTAGAGTTCATATATGTCAACGAGATAACGGGGTCTAATATATAATTAACTATCTAATAAACATTAGTTTCATTAACTCAGAATGAAAGAAACTCAAGGAAGAGCTTTGTAAGGGGCACAATCTGGTACAACCCTCTCTGGATGATTTTTCCACAAGTCAAAAAGGCAAAGAAAGTCAACAACTGGCTTTATACCTTGTTCCGAGGCAAACTAAAATCTGGAATTTGCCATCCTTTCCAATGCTCCTGGGTGCAGTATTAATGGCATGCACATAGTGGCAGAAGGGTTTGCTGGATGATTTCTGAATAAGGACATCGTCTTCATTATCTAGAATCTGGTCAGCGGTTTCAAAATAAGCAACGGCTTTCTCTGGGAAAGGAAGTCATATATACATCATATATACATCAACAGTTCATATGTGCAGAGATTTATCGTTTAAGTTTACCCTGGAAATACAAAGGATGCTATGCACGTCACCAGTTCTGAAGGCAAAGCGTTATTTACCACTGCCTGCAGACTAAATTCCAGCGGTCCATGTTTCATGGTAGAATAATACGCTCTCAGGAATTTATTGCTTACTCTAGATTGTATTCTAAAAGGTGGTAAGTTTACTCTCTAAAATATTTTTATAAATTGGATATTGGCAAAAACAAACACCATATATACTTGTGTATAAGTCGAATTTTCCAGCACATTTTTAATGCAGTTTTGTGGTAAAATTTGGTGTCTCGGCTGATATTCCGGTCGGCTTATCCTCAAGTATATACGGTAAGCAAAAGGCTCTTCTGTTAAAATTGGAACCTCCTACAAGCAGTGAAGATAGGCAGTCACTGAGATGACTGCCCTGTTGTAGTGATAGAGTAGCTGACCCACACTTTGCCCTGTTCTAGTGATAGAGTAGCTGACCCACACTTTGCCCTGTTCTAGTGATAGA